TCTTCTCAGGCTTCTAACAGCGAGGTGTTTACTGGCGCGGAGCGTGTTTCCTAGGCCACCCGAGCCTGAAGGGAAAGCTGGGATCGTACCCACGGCACAGGCTGTTCCTCTTTCACTCCGCTTTCATCACCCTTCCAGAACCGCCAGCAGCGCCGCCCCCCGCGCCCCTTCCAGTCTTCTGAGAAGAGCCAGAACTGTTGCACACGCACTCCCAAGCACCACTCCGTGCCCCTCGTTTTCCTGCATCACTCCACGTCCCCCATTTTTCCTGCCCTTCTTCCCTTGTTCCCCTCGTGATCATTTGCCACTTTTCCTGGTGTCTGCAAGGCTGTCGGTGCTGCCTGGGCCACCACGGCTGTGCTGCTGCTGTCAGGGAGAAAAACTACAAGTGGCAGCAGAGCCGCAGGCTGAGAGGAGGCCGTTACTTGTCTCACGTCTCCACAGCAGCTGCTGGGCTGCCACGGTTCTTCGCTCCTCCTAGATCCCCATGCAACACAGTGGTGCCCGGCATGAAAGACAGGCTCCCTGCTGCAAGGACCCCAAGGTAGATTCTTTGTACCTCCCCTCTGAGTTACATGTGTTCAACACCACTGGGCTAAAAAGAATCTGCATCCTGTCTTCACTGCCACCTTCTTTTTCTTCAACCTTGGACTTCATCTCTGGGCTCAGCATAGGGTGTCATTGTCACCTAAAGTGGTGGACTCTTTTTTCCCAGGAGGCATTTTTGTTCCTTCCTGTGACTAGACTTTTTTTTCCTGGCACTGGGGACTGAACTCAGGACCTTGTGCTTGCCAGGCAAGCGCTTATTCTACTATGCTATTGCCCAGCCCCCCAGCCATCTCCCCAGCCCCCTAGACTCTTGACACCACCAGTCAGTCATCCTGCCCCAGCAGGGCCTGCCTCCTGTAGTGAACAGATGCTAACCAACCTCATTTTTATTTAAGAGGTAAGCTTCCCAAGGACCAAGAGCCCCGTGCTCAGAGCAATAATGACGTTGATGGCGATGATAATTTCTTCCCGTGAATAAGGCCCCACACTAAGCACCTCAGATACACGATCTTGTTTAACTCTCTCGACTCTGATGTGCTACATTCTATTATCGTCCTCATTTTACAGAGAAAACAAAAGCTGAGGAAGGTTAAAAAGTGTATGGTCACATGGTTGGCAGAGCACAGTGCTTCTCCTTGCCCTCTCAGCTACTTTCTACAGCTCAGCTGGACCCTGAGCCGGCCTCAGTCCGGCCTTCCCGCTTCCCGGGGCTCCTCCCAGCACCGCGTTCCTCCTCTCTGGGTGCCTTTCTCTGCGGCCACCTGCACACCCCACAGGCTGTTGACCTTATCTGGAATTGGACCTCAGTTTGGTCAAGACCGCTGATGCCAGGGCGGCCTTTCTCTCCAACTTCTCTGTGCTCTCCCAGCTTCCCAGGTGGGGTGAGGGCTCTCAGCAGAAGACACTGCTCCAAGCCCAGGTGGTCAAGCCTTCCGTGGAGCAGCCCACCCTGGCCCCCGGCCCCTTCTCCAAGTCAGCTCTAGGGCTCGTTCCCAGAAAGACTGTGAGCAACCTGCATTATGTGGTTAAAGCCGTGCTTGATCTTGGTGCGTGTTTTAAATGAATAAAGAATTCAAGTCTGGTCTTTAAATGCCATAGGAAAAGAAAAGGTTACTGTCTGTGCAGAATGCCCATTGTCATTTGTCCCTAGAGCTCCCCTTCCATGGCCCTTTCTCCACTTGAACTGACAGTAAACAGCCAGCTAAGCACAGCTGCAAAGGGCATGTATGCTTTTCCTCATTCATTGCGCTCCCAGCTCTGCCACGTCACGAGGAAAGGCTGCTCCGCAGTGTCTACGCTAGCACGAAGCCAAGGCCTGGGCGCGTTTGGCAAGCCGACACATTCGAAAGTGAAACGCGGATGCCGAGTGATCCTGTTTGACCACACCCTTTGTGCTGCTTGCCATTGCTTCCCTCTGTTCGGGGGCTGTTCTGCCGCCAGGCATCGGTGTGCTCTTGGTACCTCAGTTTCCCCATTTCTAACACAAGGTTTACATCCAAGATCTCTGAGTTGCCTGAACACTCTCTGCCCTTTGCTTTGAAACAAAACATATCATTTACAAGTCAGATACTTCAGGGTTGACTATGTGAATAAAAACAATTCTCTATAAATTTTTCTCCAAATGATTATTTTATGGAGCAAGTTTCCTTTGTGCATTCAAAGTGGGATTCAACTTACAAAATATCCGACTTGGGCTGGCGAGATAGCTCAGCAGACTAAGCACCTGCTCAGGCAAGCGCTGCCGTGGCCCTGACCCTGGGCACACTGAGCCAGCCACGGAGACTGGATGTAGCGGCGCACACACCTGTAGTCCCAGCACCAGGGAGGCTGAAAGCAGGAGGATCACTATGAGTCTGACCTTCGTAGTGAGACCCTGTACCAAATACATTAAAAAAAAAGAAAGAAAGAAAGAAAGAAAGAAAGAAAGAAAAAGAAAAACAAAGCTGACTTGTGGCCAACTCATAATTGATGCTTTTATTGTTTAAAGTGAGGCTTGCCCATAGGTCAGAGTTTCTAAAAACACTGTCATATACTCCCTATTCCATAGTGAAATGTTATTAAAATCTATTTTTAAAAGTTAACTTTTCTTGGACTAAGGGTTTCCTTCATTTTTGCCCCTTATTAAAAAAACAAACCAAAACAACCATATTGCGCTGGCCAGATCCTCAGCAGATTAAAGCACCGGCTAAGGCAGATTCAGCGGCCCAGGCTTGATCCCCAGCATGCCGTGACAGCCCACGCCCAGGGCATGCAGAGATGTGGCTGAGACTGGGCCTGGTGGCACAGGCCTGTAACCCCAGCACTTGGGAGGCTGGAAACAGGAGGACCACTACCAGTCCGATCTGTGTAGTGAGACCCTGTAGACTCTGCACTAAATATATTTAAAAAAAAAAGAACAAACTTAAAAAAAAAAATCACAAATATTCCAAAGCTGGTTTAGTGACAATAACTTACTGACCCTTTGGAACACACCGGATGACACCATTTCTCACCTGAAGCTCTCTCTTGGTCCTTAGGGCAGGGGCGGGCTCTTGCACAATGTGTTGCCTCCGTGTGGAAAGCCCGCCCGCAACAGTTCCATCCTTTACTCTTCCTTACCTGGAATTCAGGTCACTCACTGTCTCCTCAGGGAACTGTCCCCTGACTTCCTTGACTAAGTCCTTTATTTCAGCTCTGAGGTGCAATGTGAAATTTATTTCTCTGAGCACGAGGTCACCACAAACAGCCCATGGGTTCTGTTGTCGCTCTTGCAGACATACTGGCTGCCTGCTGCCTGCACAGTGCTGCCCAGACTCACGGCTGTTACCGCAGGGCTTCCTCCTTGATGCACGCTGCAGTTCCCTGGCTAAGCAGACAGGAACCAAGTGTAAGAATGAGCGCGCCTGCCTGCCCTCCCCTTGACAGAGGACACAGAGAGGCAAACAAGTGGTCGGAGGGTGGGCGTGGGGTCAGTCCTGAGAGGAGAAGGCCAGGCAGCCCGCAGCAAGCTCCAGTCCTGGGGTCCCAAAGGACGAGCTTATGGTTCAGCCTCACCTTTGCTCTTCTTTCATTATTTTTTTTTTTTTTAGTGTATTTAGTCCAGGGTCTCACTACACACATCAGACTGTGTGGGATCAGTAGGTCCTCCTGTTTTCAGCCTCCCCAGTGCTGAGATTACAGGCATGGGCCACCACACCCAGTCTCAGTCGCAGTCATGGGTGCCCCTGTGGCGAGGCTATCGCACCAGGGATCAAACCTAAGTAGGTGCGTTAGTCTGCTGAGCTATCTGGCCGGCCCTCAGACAATTCTTTTAACGCTCTTTCAGTCTAAGAAGGCTCTGGCCTCCCACTCCAGCTTGAATGACGGCTACCTTCAGCAGGGTCGGAGGAGCAGAGACCCTGTCTTTCCTTTCCATCCTTCATCCTGAGAGTCTTTCTACCTCTTGGACTAGACCATCTACCCCAAATCCAACATCTCTTGGTTTTTACTTCCTTAAATGTATCTCCTTTTCCAAGGGAGCATCCTCTTTTCCATTCTGTATGCCAGTAAAATAAACTGCTACTTTCCTTTAATTTTCACAACATGTGTACTAGCATCTGCATTTGACAGGCAGGCACAGGCATTTGTAAAATGTGCTAGCTTCCAGCATAACTGGGATCTCACAGGCAGGTTTAAGATCCACAGTCTAGTATTTCTCCCCATATCACAGCTCCTGGACTGAGCCAGGCCTTTTTCAAAGCCACGGGAAGCCAAAGTTGGTTGCCTCCTGCTGGCACAGAGTTCCTTCCAGGCTTCTGATGCTACTGCCAAAGAAGGGAGGGTGTGAGAAGTGAAGGCGGCAGGGGTCCTACACGGGGGCGGTCTGCGCCTCTGGTGCCCTCCCTGGTCCTTGAAGGAGGGAATGGATTGTGTGCATGGGGCCGGGGATTATGAAAATCAATAATTCATGGCAGTTGATCAGCATCAGAAAAGGGTTCATCCACATTTGTCCCCTGAAAGTCACATTTTCCATGTGTTCACGTTTGTCTTTTACCAACGGCCTCAACCAGGTGGACTTAGCAAGAAATATCAGGGCTTTAGCCGAACGCTGTGAGAGTCTCATTTCACAGCCGGGGCTGGCTTGGAAGCTAGTTTTTCTTACTAGGTTGTTTGTACATGTAAAGCAGATTCCCAGCGGTTCCCAAGACTGCCGAGATCCTCTGCAGGACGGCTGCTCCCGCCCACCTGCCCACCCACTCACTAATAAGACATAATGCTGTCCTATTTTTGGTAACAATTAAAGGGCCTCCCGGTGAAAGCAGAGAGCTGTTTATTTTCTGTTACATCACTTCACTTTGCCTTCGAAGACTGGGCTGCGCTCAGTGCTCTCTGGTGATGCAAGTCGGCTCTCCTCCTCTGGCAGCTGGATCGCTCCTGGCTCGCAGCACCTCACAGGTCTCTCCCCGGAGCAGCACACTGCTGGAGCGAGGAGCTGCTCACGAATCAGCTGCAGGTCCCTGCTGGAAAAGCAGAGATACAGAGGCAGAGGGAAAGGGTGGATTTCCATGTGACCTGCTCTGAGCGCAAGACCGGCACCAACCGAATTCCAGAAGCTCTGTTCATGTGTGGGGATATTTTTTCAACTAAATGGAATCAGAAAGAAGCAAAAGGATGGGAAATGCCTGCATCCCCCTGAAAAGAATTGCTTACTGCCTGTGTCTCTTATCTGCGCTTTTGCTGACTGAGGGGAAGAAGCCAGCGAAGCCAAAATGCCCTGCTGTGTGTACTTGTACCAAAGATAATGCTTTATGTGAGAATGCCAGATCCATTCCACGCACCGTTCCTCCTGATGTTATCTCACTGTAAGGCCCGTAAGCATTTTGATATCTAATTTATGATTTAAAAATCCCAGTGGGTGTATGTGGGGCTTTGTATGCATTGGTAGAAAGGCACGGAGAGAGGGAGAGGGAGAGATTCCTTGTGCATGCCTGGCCGTTGGGCAGTGCTAACACTGTGCTGCATTTAGGATTTTGGCTTTCGTATCTGTGGCTGCTGATGCTTAGACCCCCACCCCCTCCCCGAACGAGATGTGAGAAACCTGTAGCAGGTTCATCTCTCTCACTTCATCTGGGAAGCAGCTGCACTCCATCAAATAGTGTCAGAAGAGTGATGTTATGCTAAACCGGATTAACACAAGGTTTGTTCTGTGTGTGTCTCTGTGTATGTGTCTGTTTTTGTATTTTGTTTTCTTTCAGATCCTTTGTGAGATCTGGTTTTACTGAAATCTCAGAAGGGAGTTTTTTATTCACACCATCGCTGCAGCTCTTGTGAGAAATATTTATATCATGACTATTTTTAATGTGGCATATATTTGGATGAGCCTTCTAGTACAATGAACTCAATTTTAATTTTGTTGAATGTGATGATATCTCTGAAAAGCAAGGATGTCAGTAAGGAGTGAGGTAGATGGGTTTGTTTGCAACTTTGTACCAACAGTGCAGGTTGATTCCTGCAATGATACATTTGCTAACCTGTGTGCTCCCTACTTTAAACGCTATTAATGAAATTGTTGGAATGCTGCAACAAGGATTCCAATTCTATTCCACTATTTTACTTTCATTTTTAACTTGGGAACTTTGATTATTTTGCTCTGGAGTTTGCATTTGTCAATACAGAGCCCAGCATAACATATGCGCTCAAGATGTTGTCTCCCAGCGATCTGGGGCAGGCTGCTACTCTGTGATTTACCATGTGGGGAAGAAAAAACAGGGGGGAAAATAGTTCTTTCTAGGTAATTCCTTAAAATATCAATTCTCAAGAGATTGCTTTCTAATCTCATCTAATTTCTAACTAGTCCTTACAAGAAGGGAAAGAAAATATTAATTCAGGCTATCACAGAGGACTATTCTTTACTATATGTTTTGAGTTGGCTGCAAGGGAGCCACATATTCAGTCAATGCCTGGAAATAGTAAAAATAATAATAACAATAATATTTGACTAAGAAATCAGATATCTGCTCAGGTATAACATAATGTGCACGATTTGTTTTGATATGTAACAGCTCACAGCTGGAGTCCTAGTGCTCAGAGAAGTAGCCCAGGGGGCCAAGCAGTCTCAAGGTGTCCAGTATCAGGCAGCAGACTTGGCTTGGCAACTACATGGTGCCAGAGGAGAGTCAGTCCATCACCGATACCGAGTCTGGGCTTCCTTAACTAGATGATTTAGGGTCCCTTCTTTGGCTTTTGGGGGGCATTGTTTTCTGTCTTAGCTATTTTGGTTGATAAGTATACATGAGGTTGCATATGCACAGGTAAATTCCTCTGCCCCCTAGCACTCAGACGTGTAGTTTTCTGCAGATCACTTGAATGGTACTCAGCCTCAGTCTATTAATCTGTAAAATGGAGATGACACCAAGTACTCTAAAAGGTTTTTATCAGAGAGAAGTAAGATTAAGTAGATAAAACTCTTGGCATAGTATATAACAAATGGTTACATGTTTTATAAATGACATGGTTTCAAATTTTTACATAAAGCTAAAAGTTATTCAATTGATTGCTTTCTCTTAGTGAAATCCCAAAACTGGTTTGACTATTTGAATTTACAAAGTTGGTAAGGTGTTTTGATATTATGTAATGATGTTGGCCAATGAATGTCCTTCTCCTGCCTCATGTCCCCAAGTGATCAGCAATGGAGCGGATTATTCCTAAAGGGCTTCTCTGTTTGACTGATGACCAATGGTGTGCTTAGGGGAAGCATTAGCACATCAAATAAATTTTTAAAAGATGGACCCTTTTTAGTACAGAAAGCGGCAAAGTCTATAAATCTTGGAACTTCTCATAGAATGAGAATTTGCTGTGCCTGGAAAAAATGGTAAACTGTGCTTATGTCACTCATTTGTTAAATAAATAAACAGCTGAAACGCACATTTTTGATGTGCTAAGGCACCTCCCTGTCTCCCCCACAGAACAGTTACATAGAGCAGTCCATAAAATTTAAAAGTCTCAGTCGTACAAGTACTCGTATTCTGACACTGGATAAGCATCAGCTATAACACAGAAAGGCTGGATTGATCAGCCTAGTCAGTTACCACATCTCCACTCTGTTTCGGTTGGGCGGCCCCAACCACAGCGAGCACAGACGCTGGTCAGTGTTATAGAAATAGTCGCCGGCTGCTGCAGGGTAATGCGATTACACGCATTTAGAATCACAGAGGGAAGCCAGGGGCTGGTTTTAAATAGCCCATGCCGAGTGTGCCATGCCCCTCTGTCCCATGCTCCAAGTTCTTATGGAACATTCCAGCCCTTCTTTCTAAAAGCAGTTCAGGTTTCAGAAATAACAAAAGCAATCTTGCCCTGTATGTCCTCAGTTGGTTCACACTGGCAAACCTCCATGTGGTAGATTTATGCTATGCTGATCTTACACAAAATTCTCAGGGGTCGAAGTTTGTTTCTCTCTCCAGGGCCTTATTCCTCAGGACTCTATTCTCCATCCTTCCTGCCCAATGTTCTCTGCTTTATCCTGTCTTCAAGAAAAGGCTGACTAAGCTCATTTTCACTGAACAGGAAATAAATTCTAACGCTGCTATTATGAGTTGTATTATGACCCTAATAATGATGGCATGCATGGGCCACAAACAGAACAGGTCCTTCTGTGAGAGAGAGCTGTCCAGAGCCCTCACAACCCGACGAGGGCTGCCAACTTGCCGTGGGAACATAGAGACTGGGGAGCCCCTAGGCCTAGGTCCCACCAGCCGTTGCTTGGCATTGGCCATGAATGTAATGGTTGCCAGTGCTGCTGTGACCAGGGACCACCAAGCAACCTGCACAAAGGTGAAGAGATCATCTTTAGAATCAACCCTGTTCACTTCTTTTCGAAGGCAGTTGATATCTGGCTCTGTTATTGGAAAGGAAAAAGCAATGTCTATTTCCGCCCTTCACCTTAACAATCTGAAAATTTTGTTATGGCCCCGAATAGTTTTTCAGACCTCTGTGGAAGCATGACGGGAGCTGCATTGTAAAATGTCAGCCTGGGATACGAGCAAAATAAACACAGCACCTGAAGCTATACGTCATATTTGGGAAAAGACTCTAATGGGCTCTGGCTGGCAGTTTGCATTAGAGGAAAAAATAAAACCTTATACTTTGTACAGAGGAGAGAAAAATTTAAAATATATAATAAAAACGTATCAGATTGATTATGCAAAATAATTTTTGAAATCTCATTTATGATCTTTAAAAATTAAACAAGCATTTCCCGAGGAAATGTGATGTCATTCACGCTTTCCCGGGGATGGCCGGAAGCACACCCGAGAGAGCGGTTAGGCATTACAGGCCACTCCCAGGGATAGACGTGATGCTTCTCGTGGGCACAATTAGGGAAATGTGCTTTCACACGCTGCAGCCCCGGTCCTTCTCAACGGCGGGCTGAAGTCCCCAGTGACACAGGCTTAGGGCCGAAGTAAGATTCAAATTGAGGCAAAGTGTGGCTACATTGCCACTCACTAATGACCTGAGCTCTGGGAACTCCTGAGAGGAGTCTATGTGCAGGAAGCGAATTCCAGAGGTAGTTTCCAGATCATTCTTTAAAAAAAGAAAAGAATTCAATATGACTGGGAAAACGTTCTATTTATTTCACTGAAATTTCATCGGATTAATTTGGAATGCTGAATTAATTTTTCTGGGGGAAAATTGCATTGATTTTTAAATTGATCTACAATTGATTCATAAGCAGATAGTCCATGAGAAATTAAAAACCAAAAATAAATAAGAGGCCGGGGAGATGGCTCAGTAGGATAAGCAGTTGATTGGCAAACACAAGGATCTGAGTTCAATCCCTGGTTTCACAAAAAATAAATAAATAAATAAATTAAAAATAAATTAAGAAAAAAATAAATTAAGAAAGCAAATAACATGAACAAAAGAAATAACAAGTCTGACGTAAAGTTTTAACCATTGATCTTTCAAAATATTACTTGTTTCAGAAAAAAAAATCCATGGTCAATCTCATTTTTTCTATTCATCTTATTACAACTATGAGAACATTTTTGCCACCTCCAGGACCACTAAAGGGACCAGTTAGCTCTGAGGGCACTTAGAGACCATTGCTGGGTAGGGAGCTTTGGCCTGTCCTCAGTGGACGCCTTCACAGTGACGGGTTGGTTTCTTTCTTCCTTTTTTTGCTACTGGGGTTTGCACTCAGGACCCTGAGCTTGCCAGGCAAGAGCTTATGCTGCTGAGATATATCCCAGCCCAGTAATGAAAATGTCAGTTATCAAGATTATTTTATCTACATTTTGTTCAGTGATTCGCAAGTCTGATTTTTTAACTTTTTAGTTAATTTTATAATTGGGTAAACTAACTCTCTATAGTGTTTTTCTCTGGATTCTTCCAGTTTTTCAGTCAAGAAACCCATCAGTCTCACTACCCATTCACAATGCGTCAAGTCCCTCTCCAGTAGTGCCCCGCCCCTGCCCTCCAGGCCGAGGCTGTGCACACAGCGCGTGCCCTTAGCCTGCTTCCCAGCCGTCTCTGTGAGCATTACCTCCAGCAAACCTGTGCTTGGAAGCCCTTAATGGTTTCCTAGGAACAGAGAAGGTCTGAACACAGAGCTGGTGTTAATAGCATCCGCCCTTTCCTGGCTGCCAGGGTATCACTTACAACACCGACCTGAAACACACGCCCCTATGCTTGCAAACTCTACCCATAGCTCCTTCTGCGATCTGTTTTCTCAGCTTCTACATACTTTACTGATGTCTAGTTTTATTGGAACTGTGTGTGCTTGTATCCATTCCATGTTTACCCTGGAGGACTGTCAATGTGATGACAGTCACACATTGATTGTCACACATTTCCTTTTCCTAGGGAAAGTCTAGGTATTACAAGCTCAGACATTGCTTTCTATTTATTTCATGAATCCAATCTATATTTGCATGAGTTTTCTGCAAAGACTCCTGGACCAAGGCTACAGACGTAGCTCGGTGGTCTGAGCACCTCTCCCACAAGTGCAAGGACCTGGTTCAATCTCCAGTACCGCATGCCATGCTGGCCACTGAAGCCAAGCGTGGTGGTGCACACTGTAATCCCAGCACTGGGGAGGCTGAGACAGGAGGCCCACTATGAGCCCGAGTTGCGTAGTGAGACCCCGTAACAAATACATAAATAAATGAAAGGTATATATATTAAGATTCATGGGCCAGGCGTAGCTCAGCACCACAGCAACTGCCTGGCAAGCAGGAGCTCTGGAGTTTCATTCTCAGTACCCAGGGGAAAAAAAAAAAAAGTCCTATTTTTACTATCCATAGAAAGTCCTTGGGCTGAGCCTGGGGAG